TATAATTAATTAAACTAAATTTTCAATGACGTTTAAAACGGAAAACTTATAATAATCCATGGTGCCAACACGGCTAACTTCATTCATTCTGTTGCTTCGCGTTCGGCGTTTAAGATACTTGCTACTTGTGATTTAATTTTTCTGTTTTAGTTTCCAAAATAATGCATTTAGTTTAAAATAAATATGGACTTACCACAACCACCACAGGGTAACTGTTCAATGTTATCAATATCAATGTATTGAGGTTAAATTTTTGTAGATATCGAGTTAAGAAATATAATTGACAAACTAGCACAATTTGTTGCTAGAAATGGGCCAGAATTTGAGCAAATGACTAAGAATAAACAGAAAGGCAATCCAAAGTTTCAATTTTTGTATGGCGGCGAATATTTTAACTATTATCAGTACAAAGTTACAACAGAACAAGCCAGTAAGTATTGTGTACGTACTGTGTACATAATAGTGGATCCAGTTTATTTAAACTTTTGTAGTATTTAAACAACAACAGTCTACTATTGTAAATGATCAAAGTAATAATTGGAATAATCTTCCACCAACACAAAATAATATGGAAATAGAGCAGTTAACGAAGCAGCAGGATGCTCTGAGAGAGCAAATAAAGCAGAGTGAACAAAACCTAACAGCACAACATACTGTACTTTTACAGCAGCAGCAGGCACAGGTAGAACAGGCTGTGGCAAAATGCGAGTCTGCTGATTTACAGAAAGAAGCAGAAAACTGTGGTATAGCACTTCCCGAAATTTATAATATATTGCAACCAATTATTGATAGCTGTACCAAAGACAGTATAAGCAATGGTAAATCATGGTTTCTTCAACATGCAACAACAAAACAAAAAGCTTATTGTATTGTCGAATGTTTATTATACAAGTATGTAATATTTGTTTAATACCATATTCCTTATATTAGTCTAATTTGTAATTTTAAAAGAAAAATAGTGTTAAAACTTTAAAGATACTAAAACATTTTTGAAACAGGGCAATGATTGCTTTAATTAGTGATTGTGAATATGTATTTTTTAAGATATTAATGCCTTTGGGATATTATGAAAGTAAAAGATCTAATAAAAATAACAATAAAAGTGTAATTTGTCAGACTTGAGATCCTTGAACGCAGTGCTCGTTGGATCCTAGCAGGCTACAAACGTCTTGATTTTCATTTGTGGGCAAGGTTTGCCTTATTTTGATTTATCTGATAGTGTAGCTTAGGCAAGTTCGGTATTAACATCTAGACGCTCCAGATGTGTTTTGTTCTTTTCTAATTGTAGGAGATGAAAAGACAAAGAGCTACATCTAGAGCCTCTAGATGTTAATACCGAACTTGCCTCTTATAAAGCCAATGGTTGCACTCGGCCAGGTAAACTTGTTTAGCAATGCATTACAGCATGATTACTTTGCTTGAATGTAATTGAAAAGAATATTAATTTACAAATAGCTACTACAGTTCAAGCTATTTTGTCAGCAGAAATTGCTTTAATTTAAGTTCTACATCACAACCATTTCAGTCTAAATCAACTCTAATTAATTACTTAGGGAGCAACTGCTGATTTAGCGGTCTATTCAGTACCTGCAGTGATCTAAGCTGCACAGCTGTTTGACAGCTTAACATGCCTTATGTATATTATATCCTAAGCTACGTTGCCAACTATAAATTAAGAAAAGTTATTACTGCACTAAAAATTCCGCTACACGCTACAACAGCACAATATATCCAATAAACTAAGTTGTGGAATAAAATTATTGAAAGTAGATAGACTTTTAGCAACTCTAAGAATGTTATATATGATATACGTTTTTGGTATAAAAAATGTGTTGGAAAACAATGTTAAAGAAGAAAATTTCATTTTGTCAATGTCTAATAAAAAGTAAATAATTTTATATAGATTTATTTATATCTGATTAAGTTATTATATTTAAAATGTACAAAAATTACTGACTTCCTAACCCATTATTTTTAAAATTTTTAAATAAATTTACTGAGAATTGTTTTATCAACAAAATTTTCACCGAATTTATTCTGTTGCCCCTATGTCGCTTTGGAAAAAAAACTGCTATATATAGCAGAATTCCGCTGCAGTCGACAAGACTGGTTCAAGGACAAATTTAAAATGCATCGCCCTGGAAATAAATCGGTTCAAACGTGGAAATTAAAAGTAACCTTTATTAGCGTTTGTACTGATTAAATGTTATACAAATGTTATATCAAAAAAATTTCAAATGGATAACGGTTTAGTAGGATAATAAATGTTGAAGGCATAGATGTTATAAAATAATGATGCCCTTATATATACGAGCCTAGACTCGTAATAGTTTGGCCAGGTATAATTTTACTATTAATATATTTAAATAAAAGTAATAACACTCTCAAAATCATTTTATTAAAGAAAAGTATTGGTAACAGAAATAAAGTATAAACTTTTAACATAAATAAATACGATTAAATATTACTACATAATGATGTGTCAGTGACTATTTTGATAATAAAAAATATTCATGGTTCAGAACAATGCGGCCATTTCATAAAAATTGTATTACATAACCTTTATTAAGAATAACAGCTTTAATTCTGGCAGGCATCGTGTCTACCAGTTTAGCACACTCTTCAGGAAGCGTGCTATTCCAAATTCCTTGCAATTTGATGAGTAGATCGTTAACTGAAGGGGCTAGATGTTTGCGCAACTATTTCCATATTTTATGCCACAATGTTTCTATTGGCAAGAGGTTTGGACTACTAGAGGGCCATTCCATAACAGGAACATTATATTCTTGTTACCAATATTTTTCTTTAATAAAATAGTGTTGAGAATGTTAGTACTTTTATTTAAATATATTAGTTGTAAAATTATGCCTGGCCGAACTATTATGAACCTGGGCTTGTATATACAGGGTGGTCCGAATTTTATGCAGGAAACTTCGGGGGTAGATAGATCTCTTTAAAATAGTAAGTGTTTGCCATATAAACATAGGTCTGGAACGGCCTCGTTTTAGAGATACAGGGTGTTGAAGTTGTTAAAAAAATTTTTTGCATATATCTCCGGAATCTATTAACTGATTTCAATTAAATTTAGTACAGATAATGTATGATAGTAGGCCTTGTATTTTCTAAAATATGAGCTCTAAAGGTTCAACCAGTGGTGTACAACTGGACAGGGTCACCCCCTTTTTTATAAAAAAAACCTACACCACTGTATTTTTTACACACTATTGTAATGTATTTATTTTCTATTGCACAAAATACGTAAAAAAGGTAACTTGAATTTTTTCCCTAAAGTTCACCGTTCTCAAGTTATTCATACCAACACAATCCCCTTGTAGACACTTCTAACCATAATATTATAAGAATATTTATGTTTATGCTTAAGTAAGTGCAATTTGTAAGCATATCAACAAAATTCTTTACACTTGTCGCTTTACCACCTGTGCAAAATTTACTTCCGAGACCTGCAGAGAGACGCCCGAATTTTTATCAGTGGTTTTTAGAATTCTTACTAGAAATACTGTTGACTGACGAGGCTGCGTTCACAAGGCGAGGGGTAGGGAATTTTCACAATTTGCATGTTTGGTCACAAGAAAATCCTCATGAAATTCGGACAAAATCTTTTCAACTCGAATTTTCTGTGAAAGTATAGCTCGGAATAATTCGCAATAAAGTATGTGGACCTTTCTTCTTGCCAGCCCGTTTAAATTCCCAGCCATTTCTAAACTTTCTAGAAAACCATCTATTTGAATTATTAGAGGATGTTCCATTAAATATACGACAAAATACTGGATACAAATGGATGATGCTCCTTGAGGAGAATAATACAAGAATGGCTTATATGGGGTAATTGATAGGAAGAAGACCAAATGCCAATGTCAACCATAATGTTGGAGAGGGTCCAGTGTCTCGGCCAGCCAGATCTAAACCCCCTGGATTTCTATGTTTGGGGTTACCTATCTGAAAAGTAAAGTTTATTCCAATAGATACTAGACTACAACTACTGTAGCGAATAGAACGCAGGTGTAATGAATTAAAAAAAAAAACACCACATGTTATTAGCTTCAATTAGTTCCATTAATAGATGTCAGAAATGTATGGATATGGGTGGTTCGCAATTTGAACAATTGCTGTAAATATGTAACGTTAATTTTGTTTCTTGTTTAGTTGTTGCTTGGTAAATGTATTTTTATTATTATTTTGATAAATTATTCTTGTTTGTAAAGATTAGGCCTCCAGGGGAAAATAAAACACACCAGGAACACTACCTCACAGGTGATATGGAAAGAATTTTGTTGATGTGCTTACAAATTGCACTTACTTTTAAGCATAAACATAAATATGCTTGTAACATTATGGTTTGAAGTGCTACCACAAGGGGATTGTATTGGCATGAATAACTTGAAAATGGTGAATCTGAGGGAAAAAATTCAAGTTACCTTTTTTACGTAGTTAGTGCATTAGAATATAAATCCGTTACAATAACTTGTAAAAAATACAATGGCGTAGGTTTTTTTTATAAAAAGGGGGGTGACCCCTGTCCAGTTGTACACCACTGGTTGAACCTTTAGGGCTCATATTTTAGGGAATACAAGGTCTACTATCATAATTATATGTACCAAATTTTATTGAGATCGGTTAATAGATTCCAGAGATACAAATAAAAAATCAATTTTTTTTAACAACTTCAACACCCTGTATCTCTAAAACAAGGCCGTTCCAGACCTATGTTTATAAGGCAAACTCCTATTATTTTAAAGAGATCTATTTGTCCTCGAAGTTTCCTGCATAAAATTCGGACCACCCTGTATATATATCGACATAATATCCCCAGAGGCTCAAGAAACACACTGCCAACCTTTACAATTAATTATACTTATAAAACCCTTTAATTTCTATAATACATGATTACATTTTTAAAACTATTTTTTTTGTACAGTAGAACCTTACTAATCCGACCTTGGATGGTCCGACTCCCCACTTAGTCTGACCATCGCATTTCCAGAACATCGCAACAAAATCAAGGTTGTCTTCTGCTACGCAAAAGAACATTACACACTTTTGCGTCCTGCTTAAGAACAGAACATTTTTTTACCATGTGATTTCTCATTTTTTAAACAGTTACAGCAAATCATTTGTGTGTTAACTTTCACCCACATTGTTTTTTTCATGTTTTGTTATTGTTTTAACATAGAACAATATTTCAGACATTATAGTATTTTCAGTTGAAAATTAAAGTTGTATGTACATATGTATGTACTGTACTGTATTGTGATGTTTACGGGTCAATAAAAGTGTTCCTCTGATAATTCGACCTTTTTTGCGTTCCGACCATACTCCCATGGGGGAGGGATTAGCGAGGTTCTACTGTAGTAACTTAATTACTGCTCTTTGAAGTAGAACAGTTCTATATTTTGTAACGGAGTAATGGGATTATTTTTTTTTAGAGTTTTACAATCTGGTACATTTTCCCAAAAGTTACATGTCATTTATTTAGTAAATGATCTGTTACATCATAGGTAAGTTAAAATAAAACATTTATAAAAAAAAGTAAAAAATGTAAGAAGTCATTTTATTTTCCATTTTTAGTGCACGCAAAAATGCAAATGAATTAAAAGAAGCTTTAGAGCATGTGGTGGTTCCTATGTTTTGTAACGCAAGCATTGCAGCCAATGATGATCAGAGACAGAAATTAGATAAGTTATTGAAACTGTGGGAGTCAAAAGCCAATTACCTTAAAGCTGATACTTTAGAAAAAATGAGGCATCCACTACAAAGTTATCAGCAATATCAATCTGACCAAATGGCGAAATATGCCACAGAAGTCGCTGCCTTAGCTCAACAAACAAAGATAACATTTGATGGCTACCAGGCTCAACATCAAGCTTTTGTTTGCCATGCAATGCAACAAATAATGGATTTGCAACAGCAGAAACAGAACCTGGAACAACAGCAACAACAGCAGCAGCAGCAGCAACAGCAGCCGCCACCTCAACAACCCCCACAAGTACCCTCAATAGTGTCTAATGCAACAAATATCATTCCTTTAGAAACAATACAAGCTAGTTTGCAACAGACTATTCAAAATTTAAGTCAAAGTGTGACCACGCCCCCAGCACAAACTAATGCACATCCCTTTCCGATGCAACATATAAATCCCCCTAATCCCAACGACAACTTCGTACCGATGAACACTTCTATCCCACCACCTAGTATAAACCAGCAACCAAACTCAACTCATCAACCATCCCCTGGAGTAAATCAGTTATCAAACAACATTAGTCAACATGGCAACAACATTGGACCGCATCCCAGTGATATACATCAGTTAAGTAATCTAAATCCGCCTCCGAATTTCACATCTCCGCCAGATATGAGTCAACAGCCCCCTCAACTGAGTCAGCCCTCGAATGGTATCGAAAGTATTCCATTCACCCAACCTCCACCGGGATATTTTCCACCGCCAGGTATGTTTCCGGACTTCTCAAAACCACCTCCCGGATTTCCCTCCAAACCGGAACCATATTTGGAAGAACTGATGCCCACTGCTCCCTACTACGACTTGCCCGCAGGATTAATAGTACCACTAATTAAGGTATGCATACATGTAGATTGCATTAGTTAAAATATGCAATTTATGTGGTTCACCTACTATTATCTCATACATTTATTTTTTTGAGAAATAAATTTTTTATATTTTATCGTTTCGGAAAACGTCTTGAATAAAGTATGTTCTATTTTCCCACAATAATGATAAAAAAAATGTAAAACTATGTACATTGTAGTTATTACAAGAAACAATTTTTTGCTATTTCAAAGGAGTTACTCTGGTTTTACACGACAATATTTTTATGCAAAATTTATGTATTGAGTGGACCAAATTCAATGGAATTTTGTAACTACTACTCTTATTGTTACTATTATTATATTGGTGGCTAGAGTGAAATCATAAGCTATTACATTTCATCATCTTCCTAGTGGTTGGATTTTGTTCAAGCTCAGTAAATCGCTTGCTCTTTCCTTCGAAGGATACTCCATGAGCTCCTTAGAATGGCAATGTCCTGGTGTTGAAGTCCAGTATTTCCTGTGTTCTGTCTCAGTCCATTTGCTCAGAGCCCGCCTGACACTGGGAGATGTGCCACAGAAGGGCTCCTTGCATTTAGTTTTGATTTGAAAAATTATCCGAAATAGAAAAAGCTGATGTTTACAAAAGTTCATGCATGCCAATCCCAATATTAGGCAAAAAGAAAATGGCACAAACTAAACCCCAGTCTGCTATATGTTTCCGTTTCAAAGATGCAGAACATTTTTCAGAGAATGGCTAGAACTCGGCTATTTTTTTTCCTATAGGTCAATTCTCCAGAGTCATTGTCTGATCAGTTCTTGGCTATTGTGCTATTTATTCATTAAGAGATTTGTTCTTTGTAAAAAATGCAGAAGTTTTCTAAGCAGATATTTCCCTTAAATGTCTAATATTTAAGAAAAGTTTACCACCTTTGTATTTGTCAGGAATATGCAATGCGGGCCCTTCTTCCCATTTGCAAACCTGTCGGATTGAATTCCCTACTAATTTGATATTCTGAGATGGTTCTTCAATTGATAAGTGTCCTGTTAAAAGGCAGTATTTCATTTGTTTTATTCTCTCTTAAGTTACCAAGTATGAAATCAAGAAATGACAAACATTTTCTTAAAGTATTTTTCTAGTAATACATAGTGCCATAGAAGAAAAAATCAAGTTAATTTGTTTTTGAGTTTCAGATAAAACTAGCCCCCTTAATCCCATCGAATTTGGTTATTTTTATGTTAGAATTGCTTGTGTTACCTACTATGCGGGAGCACAATACAAAAATCTATTTCAGTACCCATCATACTAATTACGAATTTCAGAGGGGTTTTATCAGACTTTAACTTTTGAATTTTAGAGGGTGCTTTTTTCTTAAATGGCACACTGTAACTATAACTTTTATACAGGTAGTTTGATTAATGTCAAATTTCATATTCAAGAATAAAACATGATCTATTTAATGAAAGATTACAACATTTATCACACATATGTCACTTGGTAAGCAATAAAACTCAACGATAAATGGATTCATATGTTAATAATTCAGTGAAATAAGACGAAATGTGTATTCTTCCATAGTTCATGTACGTGGTCACTACATTACCTTTTTTGCCTTTCTATCTAATGAAAAATGGTAAAGATCAAAATCGGTTTTTGGAATCTTCCCTTTTTATTCTAATTATAGTTATATATTTGCTTTGACAGTTTTCATAATATAGGTGAATACATATGCTTTCATTATCCTCAGAGTTTAATTCAAAACAAGACTGGTCATTTTTCTTTTCGCCGCTTACGCTCTATCCACGACATTATGTTCTTCATTAGAACAGGATGAAGGTAATGAAAACATTTTCTATAAGATGTCTTTTTTAATAAAGAATTTAAAGATTCTTTTAGGAAATTTAGTAGCGGAAGCGGAATTTTTCATTGTAATCACCTTTCAGTTCAATACACTTATTCCAACGTTTTTCTATCGTTTGTATCTCCTCTAAAAAATATGATTGCTCCAACCCTTCAAAATAAATGTTCGTTTCAGCAATGACCTCATCATTAGTCAAATTTTGTTTCGATTTGGAAATAGGTAATAATCGCATGGTGCTAAATCTGGCGCGAATATGGTGGAGTGGGAGCAATTCATATCCTAACTCATGAAATTTTGCCATGGCGATGACGCAAGTGTGTACGTGTGCATTGTCTTGATGGCAGAGATTTTTTTTCTTCACCAAATGCAGACATTTTTCTTTCGGCGTGTCTCTACTAAAACTCATTAATCGGTATTCTTGAATGGTGTTCTATTGAATAATGATAGAAGAATTGTTCCCTATTTCTTCTACTGATATTTTCGAGGGAACAGGCAGGGATCATTAAACCTAACCCTATATTTTTTGACATGTTTCACAATTTGCAATCTGTCGTAATATCTCTAGTTACTGTTTTGTGGTGAAATTTGAGGAAACATTCATATAATTTGTGTTTACTTGAAGGGTTGTACAATACACGAATAAAATAATAATAAAATAAAATGGATCTGCCTAATAAGTATTAAAATATTTGTAAGTTCTTCCCAGTTAGCCCTCATTTTCTCTCTAGTGTAGCTGAGTGTTAACTTTCTAGTATACATTTGTACTTTACCCGCAATATATTCTATTAGAAGTTCTTTTTGTTTAGAACTTACTGGATTTAGCTTCGGTTTTTTATTAATTGCCATTTTCTTTCCTTTTTAGACTGCACCTGACACTGCCAGACAAATAACAATAACTCTAAATAAAGTAGCATTTATTTCATGACTAGCTCATCACTAGTTTTTATTCTACCCCCTATTTACTGCTTTCTAATTGGTCGGTACATTTGACAACATTGTTCCTCGTTCCTCACTTTCATGGCTCGATCCCTTTGTGTCGAGAATACAGTATGAATTTTCTGATAGAACAGTAGTAGAGCGAAATGAGGGAACGTTCCCCAGGGAGCATTCTATTCTCTCATCGTCAAGAATCGAGCTCCTGTTGTGCTGTGATGAATTCATGTTTCATCAGAAGTTATGAACCGATGCCAAAAATCATTCCAGTTGCATTTTAACATCGCCAAACATTCTTCTGAAGTTGACACGCGTGTGTTGTCAATTGTGAACAATCATGGAACCCATCTTGTGAAAAGCTTTTTCATATCCAAATGAGTTGTTAAAATATTCTGCACCCGTTCAGTTGAAATGCCCACAGTCTCACCAATCTCATCACTTTCACTTTCTGATCGTTTAGCACGATATTGTGGATTTTTTCAATTCTTTCTGAAGTGATAACCTCATTTGAACGACCTGGATGGTCACATTTGAATTTAGCTGTCTAATAATTTAAGGTTGATAGCAAAGGTGCAGTGTTCCCATAAACTTTGCTAATTTCCGTTTTAATTTCATAATTTGTTTTCTTTTTCAAATATAAGTATTTTATTACCGCTGATACTCAATTTTTTCCATTGTTGTAAAATTCCAAAAGCTGTTCTATTCAAATGATTGGCATTCACGACAGTTTAACAGTATTGTTGTGAAAGGTTATATTTATGAAAAATATCACTTTTCAAATACTAGCAGCACCATCTCTATTACGGTGACATAAGATTTGATAGGTCCACCTCTAATACTAAGAGAGACGTTGCCACAATTAAGCGCAATGTATTTGATTCAGTTGCCTAGCAAATAATAATAACTTTCTAACACATTACACCACACTTCCTCATATCTTACTATTAGTGATAGACTCATCAAACATTATATTACTGTAATTGTAAGAAACTATTCTAGTTAAATAATCTAAAAAATACACAGTGTTCCATTTCATAAAGTGATCTTTCATATTTGAAAAAATGACAATGAGAACCTGGATGTCAAATTTGACATCAATCAGACAACTTAGGATAAAAATTGGAGATGTTGGCTATTTAAATAAAACACCCTATACAGGGATGGCCAGAAGTAAGGAATAAAATTCATATCTTTTGAATGAGTTAATTTTGTTTAAAACGCCGAAACACGTTAACTGATTTTGATTTTTTCCCATCTTTCGGTTATATAATAATGAAACAACTAGATAATTTACAAAAATAAACTCAATGTCGCAAATGCTGAAAATGTCCTCCATTCACTATTTGGCATTCTCCAAGACGATAGTAAAAGCTGTCCACAGCATTCTGAATGACTTCAGCTGGTAAATCATGCATCTCCGCCCTAATCATGTTCTTTAAATTCTCAATATTATCCAGTCTGTCCTGGTAGACTCTTTCTTTCAAATATCCCCAAAGAAAATAATCCAGGGGTGTTAAGTCGGAGGATCTTGGCGGCCATTCAACTGTACCCCGTCTACCAATCCAGCGATTTGGAAACATTTCATTTAAGTATCTTCGAACTTCAATACCAAAATGTGGGGGAGTGCCATCTTGTTGAATCCAAATTCTTTCATTCGGTATATCTGGATCAATTTCATGAGGGAAAATCACAGCTGGAGCAGGTATCAGGTCAAATGTTAGGAAATACACGTAGCGTGCGGGAGTAAGATTTTCTTCAAAAAAGAATGGGCCCAAGATTCTGTTGTTGATGATACCTGCCCATACATTAACTTTCTGTGGATGCTGCTTATGCGATTCGCATGTCCAGTGTGGATTTTCCTGGGACCAAAAGCGATAGTTGTGCCTGTTAACGTATAAGGATTTTCAACAAGTTCTAATGCAATGTCTAATTTCTTTTCTTCATTCAAAGCACGTGCCCGTCCAGATTTGGGCAAAGTCTGTACTGTACCGTGTTCCTCAAATTTGTGAAATATTTTACTAACTGTCCCTTGCGAGATTTGGTATTCGGGATATTTCGCATTAAATAAATCGCTCACTTCAGCCCGACTTCTTATTTTGTCTCCACATCCAAGCAATATCAAGATTTCGATGCGTTGCCTTTCCGACGATACCATTGCAATTCAGTAAATAACTTGATTTTGACACAATAGTAACGTTTCAAATTCCAATTTACAACTAAAACGAAAAATTAACCAGAAAGTCTGGCAAGTAAGTGGTTTCAAAAAAACGCAACATAAAAAATATATTTTTTTGCTTTAGCAGTGATAGGTACAGTTTCAAATTCTTTATTTTATTCTGTGCAAATTCATGGAGGTTAACACTGAAGATAATTAAATTTTATTTAGGTGTATTTTAAGTAGGTGTTTTATACAACTCTAAAAACCTTGCTATTGAAAAAATAAAACTTGTTTATTTGGTATGGCTGGATTCGGTTTTTTATAAGCTTTTCAACGAGCCCCCTAATGCCTTATGTTTCCATTTGAAAAAAAAAAGTAGAGGTAGCTGGGGGTTAGGGGGTTGAAGAAAAATTAATTATTATATAACCAAAAGATGGGAAAAATCAAAATCAGTTCACATGTTTCGGCATTTTAAAAAAAAATTACTCATTCAAAAGATGAATTTTATTCCGTACTTCTGGCCATCCCTGTATGTAAGCATGGACAGTGATAAAAGTATAAGTAATTTTTGTTAACAAATTTTGGATTAAGTAATATTGTAAAAGTTTTACGTAATAATATATTTGAATATTTATGTATAAATACAGTAGAGTTTGACTATGAGAACTCCGCTTTTAATAACCGACCACATATTACGACATATTACCACCCTTAAGTTTGGTTTCATAAACTTTCATAATTTTCAGATTGTGTTGCCTGGGATATTCTTATTATGAAACTCTACAGTATTTGTAAATAATATTTTTAATAATTGTTATAACATTATTTTTTTATATTAAAATTGTGTCGTGCAAAACAGCTCTATGTTAAAATAGATAAATTGTCAAATTGACCTTATTTTCGATTGGGATAGCATTGCTCCAGTCTAATTTCATTGTGAGAACAAATTGATTATTTTACAGATTAATATTAGAAATTTCTGTTACGTTTGGCCAAGCTGAAAATCTTATTATTTCGCAATTTTAAGATAATTTTGTGATTTGTACGAGTGTATAAAATTTTTGGATATAATGGAGATAATATCCAAATTACATTATCAATTATATGAATTTAATATTTATTTCATACTTTTCATATCAATTTAGTTCTTTTTTAGAAGGAAAATGAATTGATATACATCTACTATATTCTTAAAACATACCTATATTTGTGTAACTTCTTTACATTTTTTTCTGAATATTTAGAGATTAAGTATTTTGAAAACTAAATATATATATATCATTAGAAAGCTGTGGAACTCGTAATAGTTTTTTGACACACTTATTCTAGTTGGAAGAAACAACATATAAACCGTTAGATCCTAAAGATATTAGGTTGCCTCCACCAGCTCCACCTAGTGACCGACTTTTGGCTGCTGTAGATGCATTCTATTCCCTTCCGAGCCATGACAGGCCCCGAGACAGGTAAAATAGGTTATTCTTAACTCAGTCTTGTATACATACATTTACTGTTGTTGCCTCTTGTTTATTGCCTGACGTATTTAAATTATATTATGAATTGTTGCGCTATGTAATAACAGCGAAGGGTGGGAAAAACTAGGTTTATATGAGTACTACAAGGCAAAGAATAATGCCAAAAGAGAGAAAGAGGATTTAATAGCGGCAGGACTGAGACAGCAGTCTAGGAGTCCGAGCCCAATAAATTTGCAACCCGAAAAAGAACCTTCGCCGCCAAAGAGGAGGTACCGTAGTAAATCGCCTACACCCCCATTGACATCGCACAGAAGTAGTAAAAGGTCCCGGAGCCGATCTAGGTCGAGATCACGTTCGAGAAGCAGATCCAGAAGTCCCAGAAGGAGGCATCGAAATACTAGAGAGCCAAGAGATGGCAGAGAAAGTCGGAGACGGAGGAGTCCATCCCGTTCTAGATCTCGATCCCCCGTAAGAAGGTCTCTGTCGCCGCCCCCTATTAATTTTTCGTAAGTACTATTTTATGCCTTATTAGAATAATATTACGTTACTGTTGATATCTGAAATAATTTTATAACGTTTTAACCATTATTTATATTTCTAGAAGTTACAGGTAAATTCCACATTTGCTTCTAGAGAAAGTGTAGTACGAATATTAAAAATTTATTTTTATACAGGGTATTAAAAGACAGTAGGTCAAGCCATTAACCACAGGTTCTTGGTGCGATAAAAATAGGACTTTTCTTATTTCATTTCTTCATTTAGGCATGTTTCTTTTTCAAGGTAGAGGATGCGAAAGTTAAAATTTAAAAACAGATTTTTATTAATGGCTCGGTTGTTTTTTTTGAGATATTCAGTTGGAATTTTACACAGACTTGTATCTCATCACATGAATTGAAGAAAGGTAGATGTAGTAACCATTTACCCCCATCTTTTTCCAGTTATTCAAAGATGTTTTTTTTATCAAGCTTTTATTTCTTTAAATAATCTCTCTTATAAAATTTTGATTTAGATTTTGATTTAGTTCTTGATTTATGAGATATCACAACTTCTTTGAATATGTCGAGATATTTTTTTGTTTATATGGTTTATATGGTTTATATTTATAGAGATTGACATTAAAAAAAAATGATGTACAATAAAACCTCTATTTAGGGGCTCCTCTGAATAGCGGATACTTCTAAATATAAGACAATTTTGCTTTCATGGGAGTGTACAGTGAGGCTTTCTTACTATTACCATTTCTTAATAACAGACACGAGAATATTAAGTAAAACTACCTGTTAATTGCAGGCAGACAAGATTGTACCGAGTTAGTGTATATACTTATGATCTGTTTGGAATTACCAAATGTACATATAATAAATTTTAATTTATGCAAAATTAGCTGTGCTAAAAATTAGATGGTGGGTGTGTAGTTAAATACATATTTTGCCTCTGTTAGTATCAACCTTTTATAGGTCAACATGGATTCTGGAAAAAGAAAGTGTTTATCTAATCAAGATAAATTGAACGTTATTCCGATTATTGAAAAACATAATTTAATTGTCCAAGAAAACGTAAGTTAATTATTAATTGGAAAAAAGTTCATTTAAAAAACTTCGAGAAGAATGGAAGCAAAAAAGAAAATTCCCAAAGATTGGTTTTTTTGGCTGTTGATGAAACAGTTCTAATAGGTTTTGTGAGACACAAGACGAGAATATCACAACTAAAACTGTACTCAAAGAAACTCATATTAAGCAGCTCAAAATTTGCAGCTAACGACTTCAAAGCTGATAATGGTAGGTTGAAAAAATTTTGTCAGGCATAAATTTTCTTTCAAATGATGTGGTGAATCTGCCTATGTAAGCTTCAAAATTGTAATAACCGGAAAGCTAACTTACAATCAATAATGAAGGACCTTACTCCATTAGTTATTGGTAAAAGTAAGAAGCTCGGATGTTCTAGAGGAGCATATATGGATAAATTGCCAATAGATTGAGCATGCAGTCTATATAGTAGTTGTTTCCTACAATATATCAGATAAGAATTGAGTTGAAATGGAAGTAATTCCATAGTTGCCTGTCAACTTCCAATGATACTTTGCTGCATGGAAATACACCTCAAAGGAAGATCGCCAACGATACTAGTCTATACCAGAAATCTTGGATACGGCAAACATCCAATAACAGAAACACAATAGACTCCATGACTGTCAGTGCCTTTTTTGTACTCCTCTTGTTTTTTCCTTGGCACCCCATCAACAACAACGAACCAACAACAACCAATGCTGTCCCTAACTCACTTTTCTCATGCATTTTAACACTATGCACCTGTACATGTACATAATACAATATTGGGTACTAAAAAATAAATTGATATTAAAAACTAAATGTTTGATTTGTCTTTCAATACTTCCATGAATATAGATTTAGGCTCTATTAATAAGAGAGAAATATGTTGGAAAATGTGATTTTAGTCCTCTACAATTTGAAACTTATTCGAATTGTACCACGTTACATTTGTGAAACTTAGTTCTTTGCTTAAGAGAAATTTAGAAATTAAAAAACGAGAGAGTTAGGGTCACGTTCAAAGAAGTTGCAGTATACAGGGTAGGAAAGTACCGATGGTCTATCCGAAGTTAAGTGAGAGCAATAAAGTAAGCCATAGAAATCCATGTGATAGAGAAGGATGGCTATAATGAAGGCATCTCATAGTCACCGCCTGTTTTGCTCTTCCACAAATAAGATCCACTTCTTGTTTTTATTAAAATTACATAAAAAATATGTCGGCATGGAGTTATAGTCTATGTAAAGCTTTAACTGAATATCTTAAAACAAGACAGTTGTAAATAAAAACTCTTGTGGACATCTTGAAACAGATATGTCTATTTTTATAATTGGAAATTATCATGTTTCATTATTTCCTCCCAAAAATGTAGACTTGACTTACTTATTTGTAACACTTTGTATAAAAATGTGTTTGACAGTGGACATCATAGGAAAAAAGGTTGTTAATGGTCTGTGCAGAATTTTTAACTGACACAAGGTTCTTGTGTGTCTTAATACAGGGGTCGGCATAAGTCAGGCAACCAATTTGCATTAAGAGCATTAATTTTCATTCTGAAAACGCGTCTACTCGACGAGCACGTGTTATCATATTCATGACACAGACACAACTGTCTGAAGCACGAACATGCTTCGTTTTAATATTTTTCGACAGCGTTGCCAGACTTATGAGCGTTGCCGGACTTATGCCGATTTTTGGAGAGCGTTGCCTGACTTATGCTTACCCCTGTATATCATTTTTCAAAAAAAAAAAAAATGAATAAAAATGGAGGAAGTGAAGGTGATTGTAAAATGATATATACTATCTAGAGCTAAGCGGAGTTGAACTAGGGTGGGACAGCCTTGAGAGGATGTTAATAAGAATTTAGGGAAGCCATATCTAACTCCAGCCCCTCACCAAGTAAATAGTGTTCAATAAGGTAAGTGAGAAAGATGTTCATCCTTCTGTTGTGCAACACGTCATTCCTAATGACACTTGGTCTTCCTCACTTGTATAACGCTCCAAAAGCTCCAGGATTGTTTTTATTCCTCCCTGGAAAGGTGCGGAATTCAATGAGCATAGATTATGCTGTACTCAAGCTCATCTCTGGTACATTTTGGAGATCATAAGTTGATCTCTGAAAGGTTACAAACTGCAAGAATGTAGTCATCAGTCATACTCGTCCTTAGGAGCGATCATGCTCTTGTTTTTAACTCCCTTTTTTCGATGAGTTTTATATCAAAAGAAAAGTTGATATAAAAAAGTGGATTCCCCAAACTGATTACATTATGTCAGCACAATTTCTGCTCTCCGAACCCCCTCCTTCATCAGGAATTTGACATACGAACGAATGAACATCTTTTTCGTTTATTGGACGTTTGTTGGACAGTTTTCTACTTACTCGGTGAGGCATACAGCCTCTTTACATTTCCTCAAAGCCGCTCCAGCCTAGAATAATTCTGCTCGGCTTCACAGTGAAAGTTTCATTTATATTGAATTCATCCTCGTATAATAATGTGTCCTTACGCCGGGATGTATAGCTCAAATAATAGCTGTGTTCACAGAACTATCAGAAATACCCACAGGAAGTTGAAAATTAATTGTTCAAATGTAATGGGTATACATCTGACCGCTGGCAATTGTTTTTATGTGCTGCACATAAATTTATCATAATACACAACAACATACAATTTGCAAATGATGCAAATTTAACAGAAATCTACACTTTTTAATACATTGTAGAAAGGGATTCACTTATTTTTAGTACGAAAACTAGAGAAGCACAGAGGAAACACTTAAGACACTTTTATTCCCTGTTCTATATGTATATGTAAATAGAAAATGTTATCTGCCAAATTTGAAAAATATTTTTTAAAAACATTTTTTTTAGGAAATTACTAAACTATTTGAAGATACACGTCAATAAATGTGGTGTATTTATATGACAATTTATAGTGAAAAAAGTTAGGTAGCTAATTTGCAACAGAATTTCTTAAGTTTCTTCAAAAGTTTTTTAGTCCTTGTATGTAGCATCTCGTGTAGGTACTGTTTTCCATATATAATTTAATTAGATATTTAATATAATGAGCAATAACAAGTTTTCTTTAATTACTTAAAAAATATAAAGCCAAGCAAACTATAACAATTTTCATTCAAATTGATACATTGCTGTGTAGTAATCTTATTACTTTGATACATGTATTTTATTCGATGAATATATGTGTTGGGTTGTCCGAAAAGTTAGTGTGTACAGGAAATATTTTAACAAACAGTACGAGTTTTAATAATGAACTGGTTATTGACAGATTTTCATTGCAAAATATGCTTATAGTGACAATTCTGTGAATTAGTGTTTCTTAGTAAAAGATGTCCTAATGTTACTTCAAGAAAAATATAATTTTGAAGTTGCCAATAGTATGAAGTGTCCAGTGAAAGTGTATGTAGTATGTACAAATGGTTCTACGTTAATTAAGAAACATCAATCATGAAGATTTATTGTGAACTTTTCCAAAATGAGGTGTAATGTTGTGAACAGAACAATTGTGAGGATGCAGATTACCAAGAGACAAATAATTGTAGTTGGACAACTTATAAACTTCAGTTGAGTTGTTTCTCCTTGAGCAAGTCCCACACTGTTATAAATCTGTAACGATAATTTAGTCATAATTATTTTGTTAATACAACTTGTCATGCTTAGTCCAGATCTACACGCAATACTCACATACTCCAAACAAATCGTCCCTATTATCACGTTGAGGCATATGTGTATATGCATTTCTTGGATTATACGTCCCTACGTGATAAGAGGCACGAAATGTCAGGTGTAAAAACAAACTTTAATGAAATAATTATAAATATAAAAAATTCATTTAAAAAATTTCAATGCTATAAACAGAACAACTAAAACTGATTTATTGCAAAACATAATCTACATACATACACTTAAAAATTAACCAATTTATTGAAAAATATTTTTCCTGTTTTAAATATTTTTTGTTCTGTAGCTTTTAAATGAATAAATATGCCCTGATATTGCTTTGAAATACTAATTTTTTGTCTGAATATAATATACTTTTTAGTGAACTGGAATAATTTTATTTAAAATTTGAAGCATAAACACGATCGTGAACCCAAAATTTTCAAGTCAAAATGATGTTGGCAACCCTAAAAAAATGGGTCCATTTATGCCCATATAATATACAAAATTTAGAATTGCAATTGCACACATATGTGCACACCAGTTGTTTGTGAGCAAATGTGTGTGTTTAACATATTTGTTTTCCATCGTAGATGGAAAAAAAATAGATGCGTTTATATAAATGTTTTAAGATCTCATGTAGCTTTTATAGAGATTTTATACATGTTTGTATGTTTGCGGGCCAAAAAAAATAATGTTGATCTGGATTAAGCTTTACTTTAGTTAAAATTACAAACAAAATTCTATTGGAAAATCACTAGTTTGGATTATTTCGTAACTTTCTTTGGAACCTATTAACATTTGTAAATAATATTATTTCAGAACAATAAGCAGTATGTGTCTAAAACTTGATGCCAATTAAATAGGACATAGGAAATAGTATTTTAAGCAAAAATTTCCTATGTACGTTGGTCTAAAACTGCTTATTAAAAAGTACAAGTTGATAAAGGTGCACAAAGACGCCAAAAACACGTTAAAAATATGTAACTTTAAAATTGAGTGCAATAAACTCATGTTGGTATAATCTATTCCGAATTCGCAGTGGTGGAGATGCAGGAGGTAATTGAAAGATTTTTTTTACGAAGTAATTATCCGCCGCGTTTTCAGTAAAGTTATTAGTTTTTTTTAAACCACATCTTAAGAGATAAAAAGGTATTTTTGTTTGATGGCAATAAACTGTGCTGATACATCATACCAGTTAATATAAAAAAAGACAAAAAATTATTAATACATTGTTACTGAAAATTTGTTCTTTCCCAAACTTCAGAAGGCCCAAATATGGTATTGAAGTATTGCATCATAAACTTTCCTACTAACATTATTATATGAATTGGTACGATTTGGCTGTAAAATTTGAATGCAGTCTTTGGTATTTTCCATTTTTATACCAAACATAAAAGTTTTATTGGCAATTTTTTGAAACAGTAGTTTTTGTATATAAATATCAACTGAAGAAAAATCTTCTCTAGAAGAGATTATTGCAATTGATAATCTAAAGACTGGTACTAAATTTGATTTGGATATGATCAGCCATTTTATAGTGATTTAGTATAATGTTTTTTGCAATGCATTTTTATCACTGTAATTTCTGTACTAAGCCTATCGGATCTACTATATATGAAGCTCTGCTAAAAATTACATTTCCTACCTCCTTTAGTTCGGCGCCATATTTTAGAAACACCCTGTATATTATGAAATGGAATTATTCGATTATATTACTTTCGATATTGTTTAATAAGATTACTTTGAAACTATTGATAGATTATAAATAAATATGCTTTCAATATTTAGGATGGTAATTGCTATAAATGATACAAAAATTTCAGTAAATATTTCTAATAACCTTTGGAAAAATTTTTTGGTTGGAATACTTTGCTTAATGCATCTGAAAATTTATGAAATTCATTAATCTGCAGGCATTTATTTAGGAGTGTACCTACACATATTTAGTAATAGTGTACAACTATTGAGATATCCAGATTAAAAGTATATAACACAAACTTTTCGGATAACGTAAAATATCATCATCAAGTTACTCACTGATATAATATTATTTTTCAATATATTTTTATTATTTTAGTAACCTTAATTTTGTACAAAATACTCCTCAAGAACTGGATCCATCCAACAAAGGTCACCAGATGCTGCGAAAAATGGGGTGGGGTGGGAGTGGCTTGGGGGCCAACGAACAAGGTATAGACGCTCCGATTTCAGGTGGTGATGTTCGGGATAGACAAGATCAGTTTAAGGGAGTGGGTTGTAATCTAAACGATCCTTACGAGAACTTCAGAAAAAATAAAGGTGCAGCATTTATAACCAGAATGAAAGCGAGAGCAGAAGAAAGGGCTGCCGAGAGTAAGTTGATTGATTATTAAGTTCTTAAGTTGAAAAATGAAGCAATATTTTCATCGCAGGTCAATTTTTTAGTAGCTTATTATGTACCTATCGTAAAATAACGGATTTTATTTTCCTACTAAACAATTGTTTCAAATCTGAGATGAGAAAAAAATGATGTGTATTGGTGAAAATTAAAATTATTGTATTTTGATAATGCAGCCTGAGACCCAGTCCGATTTTTTAAAGGAAGATTTTAGGCCCATATAGTGAACTTTCATGATGAAAATAATTCGAATGAAAGTGACCAAATATAAAATAGGGGTTGCATGTGCAATTTTATTTCATAATTATGATAGAATAAAATGTTTCCTGTATTTCATAAAACTTCCATTTTTCTTAAAGTTACAGCTTATGAAAGTTTGAAAATAGAATATTAGTATCAAATTAAAATTTAATACTAAAAAATATATATTTTAAAAAATAAAAAACCCACATATTGTATCTATCAATTGATTATGAAAAAAATATATTTTGTTCAAATATATGTAACCGTTTTCAAGATCTCAGGGTTGGCAATCCCTACTTTAATTTATTTCATTGTTCGAAATTTTTTCGCCACAGAATTTCTCTACGTGAGCTAGAAAATCATATCATTTGTTAAAATATGACCACCGCTCTGTTGTATTACAAATTGTAAACTATTTTTCAAACATTGTATATAACAGTCATATTTATAAATCTAATTTTATTATTTGGATCACATTTGTTGACTATTGTTGTTTTTTAATCTGATCTTTCATCAGTATCACAGAGATATGGATGTGTATACAACAATAAAAAAATCAATGTATTTAATTTACATTGCAAATACAGTGTATCACTATATCCACATTTTTATACCTTTAATTGTTATCTTTAATTTGAAACTAATTGGCAAAAAGCAAAAAAGCTATTATATATTATATTTCAATTCAATTTTTAATAGTTTGGCAATAGAAATTTTTGTTTTAATTTAATAACTTACATTGAACTGGAAAACCTGTTGCTAAAATAATAGGAAGTTTTATATACTGAACAGTAATAGAGTTTTAAGATTTATATAAAATGTAGTTGTTATTAAACTTATTTGGAATGTAACTGGAAAATAAAATCTGGAAAATTATTCTAATCAAAATTAGGCATTCTCTCTAAACAACAAATACCTATATTCCATTGTCAAAGGTAGCACTAATAAAAAGAAGTTAAATAGTAAATAAAAATTTTAATACAGTAAAACTATCAACATTTTTTAAAGTAAGGAGATTTTGACATAAATTCTGTATGTAGTGATAGTAATAATACTTGAATCATTTAATAATTTTTATAATAGTATGAATAGCAGCAATAATAATTCTACGCTTATGTTTTCAAAAGGTCATTAAAATCGTCATCTATAGGAAAAACTTCAATCCTGCAACGAAATGCAAATTGGAAGGTGCCTACCTGTGTTATAACGACAATGTTTAATTGCTTAAAGAAGTTTCCATACTTAAAAAAACTGATTGATTCAAAAACACGATATTTTTTATCAATCTTTTTGTTTTTCTAGGAAAAGGTTTTGATTAAACTGGCTTCTTTTTTAATTAAGCATAAAAATATTTTAAATATGAATTGTACATCGTATTTATGGATATTCTATGTTCAAATAAGTTATTTTATAATTTTCCTAATTTTATTAAGAATGTTTGATCTTTCCTCCTCTCCTGTATGCTGAGAATGGGAAAAATATTGTAAATATTTATACATATAGATGTAAAAAATTTCAATTTTTTTGTAAAATAAATTATTAGATATATAATATAGAATTCTGTATTTCTTGCTTCTCACTAAAAGATTTTGAACAGGTGCTGATACTGCCATACATAATGATGAGTATGTAGAAAGTAAGTTTTTGTAACTAATGATGTTGTGGAAAACAACTCCTACATTGAATTACGCCCACAATATCTAATAAAAAGCTAAAATCATTCATCAGAAGAATCACCAGATATAGACTAGTTCTATTAGTTCTCACCGGAAGGCGATAGGTAAGACGACTGACAAATTATCTAACTATTTGAATTTCTTAAATACCGACATGATTCACTCACTTATGGGAATGTAAAATAAATTTTGGAATAGAAAATAAAAAGATTGTTAATTTTAATGGTTTATTTTACCGCAGTAAAAAATATTCTCACAAAATAGATATGTAGTTCTATGATCAATGTGTCCAATATAATTATTTCAGAATATTGTTCATTTGATCAATTTAGCCACAACAAATATGGCTTTTAGAAATTAAAAAACTACTTGAATTTTAAAAATTTCTGTAGGTAATTTATTGTGAAGGACTTTGTACATTGCACTGTAAAAGAGCTACAGTGTAAACTCTTCATAACATCGTTCTTTATAATGAAAAACTTCCTATAACATAGAAATTAGGTCAATTTGGTTGGTTTACGTCAAAACCCATACATTAATACACTCTTTATAGTGCAACAGCCATTCTATATTATGAAGAAATATGTTCATATTTAGACGCCAGCAAATATTTACAGAAGTATTAATAGTGTAATTGTTTTTATAATCAGCTTACAAAAGGTTCCGACTAAATCTTTGAGGAGCCGAAATTTCTAAGAAAGACCCTGAGGTCGTAAACAACTGCCTTGCTTTTGTTATTGCTGATTGCCTCGTGTGCCATTACTCTTGGATTACATTGTTTCTAGGAAATTTTGCACTGGATTACTAAACGCACTAGGCACCTATTGTGTATTTTCAGTCGTAAACTTACTTTAAAACTGTCAAGATGGCCAGTAAAAGTAAAGCGTTATGTGTTAACGAAAAAGTTTGCTTGATACGTGCGATAAACAAAGGAGAAAAGAAAAGTAATGTTGGAAGACAAGAACATAAAACAATTTCCAGTCACATATAAAGCAAACAAGTCAGCTTGGATGACATCGCAGTTCTTTGAAGAAGTTAGAAAATGGGATGCTGAATTAAAGGGATGGAAAATCTTACTTCTGGTAGACAATAATTGCTCTGCTCACCCTTTTATAACCAATCTTCGAACCATAGAGTTAGCATTTTTCCCAGCAAATACAATCAGTATCTTGCAGCCGATGGATCAGAGTGTGATTAAAAGTCTAAAGGGTCACTGTAGAAGGAAATTGTTGATGGAACTGATCGAAACTGACGGCAAGACCTCGATTAATATACTACACGCAGTAAATTTCATATCGAAAGCCTGGAAAGAGGTAACAGCATACAGCATTCTTTTCGTCACTCGGAACTTTGTAAACAGTCAGACAGTGGAAACAGAGCAGCTTGGTAGTGAGGACAATCTACCATTGAGTGATTAGATTAAACAGTTCAGCATACAACCGAATCATTACTGCGAAGATTTACAAACATACAAAAATATAGATCAGGACCTGGCCACAACCGCTTCACTCACTGATGAAGACATTATTGATTCAGTGTCAAAAAGTAAAGAGGAACCAAATGAAGATAATGAAGGTGATCCAGTGGACGATTCTGAACCATCACCAACTGTTCAACAAGCACTTGATGCTGCCAAACTCATCGAAAAATTCTTATTGTTTCATGAAAATGATTCCACCACATCCCAAGACATGCATAAAATACTTAAGAAAATACAAAACAAATATTGGCATAGCAAAAAACGTCAGGCAAAGTTAACAGAATATATGTGTTTGGAATAATTTAATTACTTATTGAAAGTACATAATAAAATTGGAAATTATTGTAATTGATGAAATTTGGTTATTTTTCCTTCTTCCCTCCATATAACAAAAACTCTATAACGAAAAAAATCTCCGGTCCCTTAAAATTCGTTAAAAAGAGTTTACACTGTATTTATTGTCCACTTTATTATTTTCTTTTTAAGATAGAGAAAAAAGTTTATGTCTTCTACCCCTCGATTGGGGTTGCAAATTTCGTGAAAAGACGTTCATAGATATATGTAAAATTAATATTAAGGATTTTTATCATTTATTTTCTTTCTAAATGGGATGATAGTGATATAAGTTGGTTGGTCGACATATACAGGGTGTTTCAGTTCAAGTGAATCAAACTTTAACTACAAATGGAACTCAATAAATAATTCAGAATTGTCTTATAAAGCATGGGTATCACCGTTTTCACTGTACGGGGCCATATTGTTGGATTTTAAAATCATATTATTTATGAAATCTTTGCTATGCTTTTAACAAATTGATTCAAATTTGGTGTGGTGTTAACATTTACATGTGCATAATTTACTGTAAATTTTACAAATTTTTGTTAGTGGCGTAGGAATGGGTAGTAAAGTGGAATTTTTTAATAATCATTTGGGATTCATTTTTAGATTCCGTGGACAATTTTACATAAAAAAGGTATACTTGTTGAAAATCCGTATAGGGTATCGTTTTACCGAAAATGTCAGTTGAATGATAAGAAAATCTTGAATATTCATTCATTTTTTTACAAACACTAACTAATATTTCAAATCGTAAGAATAAAATGACGGTTCCTGATGACAGATAAGTCTATTATTGCTTAGTTATTTATTCATGGCAATCATTGTGTATGGACTGTAATGGAGGCACAGCGCAAATTTAAAATTAATATGTAGGTGTAATTTTTTAAAGGAATTATATCTGAAACAAACGGACCATTGAATGAGCAAGGATACGTGTAATTGCTTCAGAATGCCACAAATGAAATTTTAGAGAAGGTGGCATTGACATGCTGTCCACTGCACTGCAATGCAAAAAAATGAGCTCAGAGAAGGAATTCACCACATTACGAATGCAATAAATAATACACGAGATTTTATTTAAAATTTATTTGTCGTTTTACCGAAGTAGAGATTTTCGGTAAAACGATACACTATACCGATTTTCAACAAATATACTTTTTTTATGTAGAATTGTCCACGGAATCTAAAAATGAATCCTAAATGATTATTAGGTCATTGAAGTAGAAGTTGGGGTAAAAAAATCCCGCTCTACTACCCATTCCTACGCCACTGACCTATAAAAATTTGTAAATTTTAGAGTAAAATTTGCACATGTAAATGTTAACACCACACCAAATTTGAATCAATATCAATATATTATTGTTTTATACCTACTCTCATATACTAAATATGCACACCAAATTTGGTTAAATTATCTAGCTTACTTTTATTTTTTTGTCACAGAATATACACCCCTGGATTTTTTACCTATACTTAAGAAACCTTGTATAAACCGTTAAATAACAAAATTTTGAAGTTGATTTTTTGTATTTTGGAAAATGAACGAAAAAGTAATTTTTATTTCTGAAAAATTGAGATGGCCTTGACATGAACATGAAATGTGAAGAAATAAAAATACTCGTATATGTAAAACGGCTGTTATAAATAGATGGATAACGATAACTCCAAGGTAGCTATGTATTATATGTTTTGTGGTAGCTAAAGTAAGGCAATTGGTAACTTTAATGTTGCCCCCAACGGATTTAAAAAAAGTCCTCTTTTGGAGAAAAATACCCCTTAAAAAATTATAATGTTATTTTTTGCATATTATTCTGATAATATTAATGTTGCAATTTCCCATTACATAAAAAAATAAAATATCTAATATCATAATTCCAGTCTATGCAACCAGTGTTACAAGTTACATCCTAATAATATTTCTCGCTAAAATTTAAAAACCTAAATATTTAGCGCTAAAATTTAAAAACTTTTTTTATTCAATTATACCTTATACCAACATTTACGTAAAGCCGTGCGAGAGTGTGGATAATGTTAATCATTGGGATGATAAAATGTCCTCTGTTCAACACAAAAAAAACTTTTACCCCTTTTATGTGAAAAAATTCCCTAAAAGGTATAATGTCCTCCCAACTGGCAACACTGATACTACTCTACTTCCCTCCAACGCACATTGCAACAGCGCCTCTTTTGATACGTTGTTGAACTATAAGGGAACGAACTTCACTAGTTGTGTATTTAAAAATCCGTTATTTAATTTTATTTTAAATGTACAGGTTGTTTTGATATATGAGTGTACAAACTATTAACATAATAAGTAAGAAATAATGATCGACATTTTTTTCTAAAAAGTCCCCCAAATAATTGCATATTTGGAGATTAACTTTTTCAGAATTGCAAATTACGAATTTATTGACGACTTTAAAGAAAATTAATACAACAAAAATCTTGAAATAAATGAAAATAAGTCTTAATTTACTAACTATATTTTAAAAATGATTTTTTTTATGAAAAACATAAAACATGAGTTTTAGAGATCATGAAACCTTGAAAAAAGTATGAAAATAATTATAAACAGAACGAAAGATGGCAGATGAAAAATGAAATGAAAAAACAATAAAAAATTTCTTTCTGGTTTGTTCACACAAAACTCGAATTAAGTGAACAAAATTAGCCACTTAACTAAACGCAAATTTAAGGAACAAAATCTTGTTTAAATCATATACAACTACAAAATACATTTGAGCTTGGTTTAACCTTGAACTATATCATATTATCTAAACCATAATTGTGTAACTAGCCCTAAAACATGAAAAAATGAAATAATGATACCTTTATTATTAAATTTTATTATTTTTTATTTTACCTGAAATAAAAATTTGTATACAATTGTTGAATAGACTATTTATTAATTAAAATCTGTCATTATATATGTATATCTGTGTATAAAATAAAATTACATGAAACAACCTAAAATGTAAATAATGTATTATAAAGTATAACAATTCGAATTCAATCTAAACTTAAACGCCGAACCAAACTTGAGAAATAAACCGAGTTATGCTGAAATTTTTTAAGGCTGGCATTAGACAATAGACAATAAATCGCACGTTTAGTAAGTAGAACAAGAAAATCCATCTAAACTATAAAAATGTTGAAATATAAGGATTCCTCTAATTTTTCGTAGTGAAAAATCAGAGAAAACATGGGTACCCAATTAAACATCGGAATGTACCTTTCCTGTTGAGAATTTTATAAAAATACTTTAATAATTATGATTAATTTATGTGTTAATAGTCTCATAAAAGAATTCTGCGGGGAATGGTTATCTTTATAGTATCGTATGCGATTTTCTGTATATTCAACAGGCTTGTAAAGTTCAAGAAAGTAATGATAAACATAAGAAGTATTGACAGCTTATAAAGAAGAAAACTTGTATGACTAGTACAGTGAAGAGATAAAAACGCCCCGCTTAATGAATCCTATCGGAAATTAGAACTGAAATGTTGTATAGATTTTTAATTTATTTACTAAAATCTGGGTCATCAGTGTACCTACCGATGCGTTCTCGTACTAAAGCATAGATCTGTCAAAAGTGGGAGATAAGCATCCGTGACATTAACTAATAATTAATAACAATGTTGCAAGGTTATTCTTTTTTAGTAACTTTTATAATGTTGGAATTAAGGCTGCGTTCAGCGAATGGTCGGACGTCGGACCTGTCAAAGTCTTTCAACGGACAAATATTTCGTTAATCAGCCCAATCAACTTATTGGGAATATTGGGCAGGTTTTAAAATGTGACTACAATGGGCAGGCTCGTTCAGGGAGTATGACTGTGCCTTTTGTGTCAATAGTCTGTGTTCTGTGATCAACAGGTTATGTTTGTGGCCTTTATTCACTAATCACTATAAAAATTCACTAATTTGAGTAATTTGTAAACTATAGCAATCGCTTAACAATAACTGAGTAGCGGCTATCACTACACCATTCCTCCTGCAAGGACTCATAATAAACAAAAAATAAAAATATGTTTATATATCCATTTATTTATATATTTTCTGTAATCTATAACAAATTGATAATAAAATATGATTTGCAACTAATTTATGAACAGTAAAATCAAATCATAGTATTTACATTTTATATTTATGAAGCCACAAACAAAAACTGTTTTGTTTTGTGTAGCGGTTTGTTGCATGCGCGTCAGTATCGACTGACAAGTCTGAGAGCATTTTGTTGGCAATTGTGGCTGTACAGAAGAAAAATCTGGAAAATGGGTGAAACAGTGGTTTCCCGCCCTCCGATCTCCGTAGTAGAATCTACCATGATTTGTCTATGGATTCCTGTTGTTTTGGCCGGAACTGCGTTTTCTGAGGACCTTTTTAAAAGATTGAAGAAATTTTTGGAAACGGGCGAATTTCGAACTAAGGGATTCCTAATAATATTTCCACTAATTGATTATATAAGCTTATCTTAGATTATTTTTAGATATTTAAAAAAATATACGCAAGTGTCCATTGATTCAATCACATCCAATCTTTGAAGGAGATAGATTGTATAAGTTTCTCGCAACATCGCTGTTACGCCCTGTATATTAATAACCATTCTATTATATTCGTTGTTTTGTCGTTTCCTTAAAACACGGTAAATTCCAAACGCAAACTAATTAAAACAGTATAAATGCCACTTCATTTTAAAATCAAAAGGGTTTTTAAAATATGTAGGTATATTGTATGCAGCGTAATACCTACTTGCCTCGTATGTCGTAACAAGCACGTGTTTTGTGTCAAATCGACACGGAACAAGTGCACGTTTACTGTCACGAAAAAAGCCTATTCACACATGTTTTGCGGGCTCTATCGTGCATAACATTGCTAAAGACCAAAACAACTTACATAAACCCGCTTTTAAAACGACAGCGAGGACGTATTCTGTGTGTATATTATACATATATACTTGAAATAATTATATATCTAAACAATCGCGTGATTAAATATATTTTTATCGATATTTTTTTTCATATTAAACATGCACACTTTATTACATATTTGTGTTGGTCTCTAATTGCTAAAATTGCTTCTAGAATCTTCCGTGTTCTTGACTTCTGGACATTAGCAGAACCACTGTGATAGACTCATTTATTTCAAATTTCGTGGATTATTATTAATTTCTTGGACCAACGATTTCCATCTAATAATACAGTAGTACATATAAATAATCCTTTTAATGTAATAAAAAATGTGCAAAAGTTAAAAATTTAATGTCTTAGGAAACGAGGTACACTTAATACTTCTTAATATAGGTACCTAGGTATATAAATATTTAAACACATTTTAAAGGACATTTATTTAAATTTGCGCCTATAATAATGGAGTTTAAATAAGCTAATTTAATTTTTTTTATTATGAAATTAGCCATAAGGTTAATAGGTGCTGTTTGTCAATTTTACAAGTGATTTCAATATGGAATTATCTGCCAGATGATTCAAGTTGAAAAAACATATATTGATACTATTATAGAGACCTTAGGTGATTTGGAATCTATCAATAGTAAAATATAGTAACAAAAGTGAAATAATGTTAAATCATTATTATAGATTTAAGTTTATTCCATAGGTAAATTCAGTTCATAAAAATTTAACTTCTCGAGGGGACAGAGCGACGAGTCAAACTTGTATGTAGGAAATTCCCATAAAATATAACTATAGGTAGATACCTACCTCGATGTGCAGTTTGCATATTTTACCTATTTACACTTATATTTTTATCTTACAATACTTGAAAAACTTTTGACCCTAAAGTAGGTATAACGGTAATATTTAAACCCCTGCAATCATATCAAATATACTTAGGTAATATGTAGAAAGTTAAATTTAAACAAATTATACCCCTTACTTACGAAATCATTTAAATATATTAGTGATATTATTTTTACGTAACTCTGAATGATTTATATAATTTTTTTACAATTCTTTTACTTATATAACCAGACATTCTCAATGCCACTTGTAATTTGCAAAATGGGTGTTTTAAATAAAAATGTGTACCCATTAGTAAAAGTAAAATTGTCTAGTCACAATAATCGTGGATGGGTAATACATAAATGGCAACTACGACGATCACGTGGTTATCCACGTTACTTTAAACGTGATCTCTAGTTTAGATCATGTGCAAAATAGATCAATACAACTTAGACTTACGTATAGCTGTCTTTCTTCCACTTCTGAATGTAATAGTAATTTTGAATAAAGTTTAAAACCACAAGGATCAAATTTATACAACATTTATATATAAGCATTGTAGTAACCAACAAACAGATCTGTTCTTTTTGTATTTTTCTCTCATATTAACTAGGGTTTCCTCTTTTTCATAAATATGTGTGGCAGGTCACGTAGTAGGTAATGAAAAAGACGAAAACAAATAACTTAGGTGTGTCGTTGATTGTTTTCATCGCTCACGTGTACTCTAGCGTGTTCATTCGCTTCGTATCAGTGCCCAGCTAACTAGAGGAAGAAGCAAGTGAGATTGGCAAGTGTGTGCTTCGACACCTGTCAAATTTTCCGTAAACAATTGAAATACATTTATTATTGTAATAAGAGAGTCACTTGATATTTGTACTTCCTGATATGGTGCAGAACTTTTCTCAAATAAATGTGATTGTGTATTAAAAAATTATTTTGTTTTTAAATTAAAAATGGATATGACACAAAACTACTGGGAAGAAAATGCGAACATTCAACGTGTAAAATACGAAAGGTAAGTGTTATGAAGTTTTCGATGAGTGATAATTTACTTGTAGAGCTATGTTTTATATAAATTTATTGCAAAAATACTAGATAAATTTAATCATTGTGACGTAAACACGTCTCATTATTATATTTACTCATTCAATTCCGAAATGATATGGCTATTAATAACTTGATTTAATTATATAAAATTGTCAGATTTATAACCATTTTTAAATTATTAACGAAGAAACAACAACCTGCTTTACATGTTTTTTAAGTCATAGTAGTCGTGCTACGAATGCAAATTTTAGTTTAATTACATTTTCAACATTATATTGCAAGTTCTATAAAGAATTTTTGATATTCAAAATGTTTAGATCGTCTGAAAAAATATGCTGATTTGATTTAAGAGTGTACATTCAAATTATAGTGATAAATAAAAAATTTGAATTTATATTTAATTTTTTTCCCAATTTTCCTCTTCCTAAATCATTCAGATGTAGTTGTCATTCATTATTTTTAAAATTATCTAAACGAAAGAATATCATTAAGCGGCCAGTGGCGTACAGAAGTTGAGCCTTGAGGTCGGACAAAAATTGGTTAGATTTTTTTTGTTTAAAATTTGACTACACCACTGAGATTTGCATGCCGTCAAGTGCATAAAATATAGTAAAGGTTTGAGAAAAAGTTTCAATTAAAGCTGTCTCCAATTTTCGTGAATGGATTTGTAATTTTTTGTTATTCATAATTATAATTCAACGATTCATCCATTAAAATATAAAATTATTATTTAATTTGAAATTGACCATTAAAAAGAGCAAATTAGTAAAAATTTTATGAATTTATATTTATTTATATACTTAATTTACTTATATTCTCTCCGTTTAGGAAAAACAGAAATGATAAAAACTGTTAATAACTAATTTTATGTACTTAATTTACTCACTTAATTGTACATTTTAGTTTAAGGTGTTGCAGAATCCAGTGGCACAATCAGAACTTAAATTAAAAAATTGCCAACAATTTTTATCAGGTTTGATAACGAAGAAAACGCAAGTAGGATTTGATAACTGGAAACAAATTCAAATGTCACGTGATGTAATAGAGTTTTTTAAGGTCTATCTTTCAAAAAGCCAGAATTAAATATGATAATATTAATAATTAATAATATTATAAAAGGTGTTTCCATATAAATGAATCACACTGTGTATGTTGTCTAAGTAATTGAAAATGGCAACAAGTAGGTATGTAAACAGTGTGATCCACAATAGCTGTGAAGAGCAAAACCTTTTTTTACTTGTAAATTTACGAGAAAATATAATTTTTTTATAAAGGTTCCTACTTCAAATTTTTAAAAGTAGCTACTCCTATGTTTTGAAGTTTCGAAAAGTATTACTAATAGGTATTGTTAGTAATTTCAAGAGTATGTATTGTAAATATAAAGTTTCAGTTTTTTTGTAAAAAGAATAATTACCTTCTTTATACATATTATACTATGTAACTACCTAATATTTTATACCTACCTTTGGATAGGTAAAAGTAAATTATATTACTTAGGTAAAAAATAAATTTTGAAAAGCAACGATGTGTTGTCCTGTTGAACAGAAAAAAAAACATAAGTACACATCTCACGAATTTTAGAGATCAAAACTATTTCCAAATTTTAATATATAAAAGTTTGTTTTGTATTTTGTTTAATCTTATACAAGGCGAGTCAGATTTAATATCGGATCCGAGAGTATGTATAAATTTGGTATTTTGTGTGTTCCAAATTTAGTTTAAATATTTCATATTTTGTTACAATTATTTTCGGAATTACTATCAGATACTGGGTTTGATTTTAAATACGACTCGTCCTGTACTATTCTTTGATAACTTTAATTTTTAAAATACGAAAATTTTCGGGTTGGCCTGTGTATCTGGTTGCTGCCAGTTACAAAATTACCTTGCAGTTTCTTAGTCTTCCTAGTCTAGGGCTAGGCTTTGTATCTCAGTTGTGGCGAAGCATTTGCCTAGTCTCCATTGAAGATGCCGGAAATGGATAACGGCGCGTAACGTTTCTAAGCATTGGATGCAACTAGTTCTGACAGTGGGTCCATCCCCATAGAGCCTATATCGAGAACAACAACAGCATATTAAAGATTCCTAGCTAAGGAAGTGCAAGGTAAGTCTGTAACTTGGATTGCACTGTAGGTCCACTCTGATATGGCGCCCTTTCTGAAATATCAAAATGTAGTGACCTAAAGCATAAAAAATTGTTTTGAAGTTGCTATAATATTTAATCTCAAAGGTTACTTTATGTTAAAAAAAAATTCTCACCAAAAGCCTGTTTGATAAATCAAAAATTTACCGAGCTTATAAGGCGGTGCCCTGTCCCATGCTAAATGAATGGAAAACATTTTTTTATAGCTTACGTTAAAATACGTGAACATTTTTCCAAAACCTCCACAAACTTGAGGGCTGTAACTATTTCCTGTTAAAGTTACGAGCTTAATTACTGAAGATTTTATGTAGAGAATTAAATTTCCTAAGAATTCGAAAAAAAAAATCAGATTTTTCGATCGAAAAAAACAGATAAACGTTTCATTTCTATTTTAACGAATAATATAAAAATAATTTTTACGAATAAAAAACATGCTATATTTAAGAATATCTTTTTTAATTTTTCTTTCGATATTTTGAAATTTAGTGAATACATATGCAATTATTTCAACATAATAATTGTAGCCTTGAAGTTTTAATATATCAGTCATAGCAGTGAGAAAAAATTTGTTCTCAGCCGACGGAAACCTGACGCCTTCCAAATTTTAGTCAACTTTCAAATTTTAGTAGCTTTTCAAATTTTGGCATCGCACAAATTATGGTCCTCTAGACCCGGGCCCTCGCGGGCCTGAGCTTAAATCCGTTCCTGAGCACGGGCCGTGAGAGCTTTAAAACCAAAATTATTTTCAAGTTTCAACTTGTGTAATTAATTATTATGCATATTCAAAAAATATTTTTACTGTATTGATTGATTTACTTTTATAACTATAAATTTTTATCTTGTAGTTATTAAAATTGTTTTTATGTAATAAAAATACCTTAGTTAATAAAATACGTTTTCTAAAATTATTAAGCTATAATAAATGGAAAATTTTGAGGAATCTCGCTGTTAATTTTTAGTATTGTTTTATTTCCAGTACGTTTAAAGTTTAAAAGGGTTTTGAATAAACATGTTCGAAATTAACAACGTAGGGAACATCTTGCTCTGGTGTTAAATTTTTTTCAAAAATTGATAACATGAAATGTCTTGAAAAACACATGGACTAAATTTTATAACAAATTTTTTAGTTACGTGTATCAGCGTAAGCCGCATTTAATTGTAGTATATTTTGTAAACACCACCTCCAGTATCGTACGAAACATCAGTTAAAAATAAAAAGTAGATTATGTATTTCTGTTATTTTCTACTATTATAAAGTTGTTTACTGATAATGTAGAGGCGCACGAACAACAGACTTTAGGCTTGGCTATATTCCAGAATAAAAAAATAATATGCACTTGATTCCAATAACATAGACTTTTAAGAATTTGATCGTCGTTCCGTAATCGGCACGTGTATTTATTGAATGTATTTCGCGTATTAAATCACGTGTCGAATTTTTTCTGTGAAGTATCATTTTCGGAATTACGTTAACGAATGTACTTTTATCACGTAGTACTAACAGTTGGAAGCTGTTGTGTCGTAGATAGGCGTGTCACGTTTTAGACAAATATTTACGAGTTATCTGATCTATTTCAATTTAATTATACAGGGTGGTCCGAATTTTATGCAGGAAACTTCGAGGGCAGATAGATCTCTTTAAAATAATATGTGTTTGCCTTATAAACATAGGTCTGGAACGGCACCGTTTTAGAGATACAGGGTGTTGAAGTTGTCAAAAAAAATTGATTTTTTGTTTATATCTCCAGAATCTATTAACCGATCTCAATAAAAGTTGGTACATATAATGTATGATAGTAGGCCTTATATTCCCTGAAATATGAGCTTTAAAGGTTCAACCAGTGGTGTACAACTGGACAGGGGTCACCCCCTTTTTTACAAAAAAACCTACGCCACTGCATTTTTTACATGTCATTGTAACTGATTTATATTTTAATGCACAAAATACGTAAAAAAGGTGACATTAATTTTTTCCCTAAGTTCGCCGTTCTCAAGTTATTCATACCAATACAATCCCCTTGTGGCAGACACTTCTAACGATAATATTACAAGAATATTTGTTTATGTTTAAAAGTAAGTGCAATTTGTAAGCAAATCAACAAAATTATTTACATTCCTTTCTACACCACCTGTGAGGTAGTTGCGATATAAACAAAAAATCAATTTTTTTTAAAACCTCAACACCCTGTATCTCCAAAACGGGGCCGTTCCAGACCTATGTTTATAAGGCAAACACATATTATTTTAAAGAGATCTATCTACCTCCGAAGTTTCCTGCATAAAATTCGGACCACCCTGTATATATTTTTATAACTATAAAAGGGGCGAATATAAACTTTGATAGGTCAAAAGATAATTTCAAAAAATTTATTTAAAAAAAAATTATCACAGATAATGGCTAGAAAATATTAAACTAATATAACTTTAATTTATAACATCCAAAAAGTCTAAGACTTTGAGTCTCGGTTAAAGCTTGATTAACTGATCAGGCGATTAGACTGTACATATATTGATTTATTTTATAAAGTACCATCACAATCTAATCGCCTAATTAGTTAATCGAGCCTTAACCGAGACTCGAAGTACCGGGCCTAATATAATTAGAATTGCTAGGATACCGAACATTATTTGTGCTTTGTGGAATTTCCTGAGGAGATAGACAAAAAGTTGTTAAAAATGTCTCGGTCTCGATTTTCTCGAAAAATTGAATGGGCATCGTGATATCTCCACTCATTTAGGAGGTGTGTTTAACATTACTATATAGGTCGTTTTTTTGGCGATTTTTGTTTAATGAAGCAGCACAAAAGGTACTTTGATAATTTTAA